CATCCAAGCAGTGTGCTGTTGGTAGGGCAAATAGGATTTTAAGATGTATCTATAGAAATATTGAATACAAGTCTAAAGAGGTTACATTTTAATTGTACAGGTTACTGGTTAGGCCACATTTGGAATATTGTGTTCAGTCTTGGGCTCCTTACCTTTGGAAGAACATTGAATTGTTGGAAAGGGTTACTAGAATGGTGCCTGGGATGGAGGGGTTGTCATACGACGAGAGGCTGAAATCTCTCAAATTGTTTTCTCTTGAAAAAAAAGAAGAGTTAGGAGGGTTCTGATTGAGGTGTTTAAGATTGTAAAGGGAATTGATAGTGTTGATGCATCATCTTTTTTCATACTAAACAGTGAGAATAGTAGGACTAGTGGACACAAATATAAATTTTGTCAAAGTATGAGTCTTCTTCAGCTAAGACAGTTTTATTTTTCTAACAGGGTGGTTGGCCTTTGGAATGAGTTGCCTTCAGATGTTGTAGAGGCAGTAAATTTAAGAGAGTTTCAGAAAAAGCTTGATAAGTATATGAATGATAAGGGCTGGCTTTAAGATTTTTTTAATTATTTCAATTTAGTTTTGAGGATGAAACAGCCGAGATGGACCAGTAGGCCCCATGTTGTCCCAAAATGTTATGTTAATATGTGGATACACTTAGCAATCTTTCTAAGGTTTAGTAACATTGAACAAAGTGAGAAGTACAGTAATCTGTTTAATAAGTTATACATTTATCAGCTTATTTCAACTCACAAACAATTACTAATCTATTTTAATGAGTGAACATTAGAAGGTTTTTGTAATATAACTAAAACTTTAGAATAGAATAGAAATATTTACTCTATGTTACAGAAATAATTAGCAATTTAGTCTACAATTTACATAATGGCTTTTATTGTTTGTCTTGGATTATTAAGTAGACATAAAAATGAAGTGAACTTATCATAATGAAAGTATTTATAATTAAAAGTTCTACAAAGTTCAATTATAAACCTAACATTCATAGAATAATAGGCATCACCTAAGTGCTCCAATAAGATCACTTACTTCGTACTTTACTAAAACACAAACTCAATAATAACAAATGTAAACTAGAGTGACTAACAGCCTGACACAGGTACTTTGTTCTAGAGTGACTAACAGCCTGACACAGGTACTTTGTTCTAGAGTGACTAACAGCCTGACACATGTACTTTGTTCCAGAGTGACTAACAGCCTGACACAGGTACTTTGTTCCAGAG